ACATCATTTAAAGTGTCTTGAAACTGAGTTTGCATAGGAAGCATGGTTGTATTTGAGATGCATGGACTAGGGCTGGTGGGAATTATAGGCCGAGGGGGACACGTGGGGCTGCTACTGCTCTGGAGCCGGACTCGTTAGGGCTCACTTAGCCCCTGCCATTTGCTTGCTATATGACCGTAGGCAAGATTCTCAAACTCCTCGAAGTCTCTACAGCTGTGAACCAGTAATTTCTATGCAGACAGCAACTATCTTGTTTACTAGTACACCCTTAGGACATGTTTTGGTGCCTGCCACACAGGAAGCCCCAAACAAATGTTTTTTAAAATGAATAAAACAACTAATGAATAATACAAAGTACTTGGTACAGTCCCTGAAAGATGCTGAATAATGTGAATAAAAGTCACAAAACAACCATTGACCCAGTAATGCCACATTTGTGAATATAATCCCCAAGAAATCATCCCACATAAAGGTAACATATATATATGCATGGATATATTTTAGATGTGAAAGAGCACAGTTGTTAATGATGGAGAAATCCTTAACTCAAAGACTCGGCTAACCATGGAGAATGGCTGGGCACTTAGGAACTGTTGAATCAATAAGAAGCTTTTTAGCTAAAACCTGGCAAGTGTGTAGACTGCTGAAAATCAACATTTTTTTAAAAATCTGAGAAAATGTTTAGAAGATCTATATAAGTGTATATTTATTAGAGAATGAAACTGAGTAAGAATTTGGAGGGATAACATTTAGAGATAATTACACTTTTTTTCTATTAAGTTGCTTAAGAGTGTTTGAATTGTCTCCTCCCTACCCCCACCCACCCAGCCAAGGAAAAGAAAGGAAATGAAGCACCCAACCCCGTTGCCAGATGGGGAGCTCTCCGTGGGCTCAACCATCCGGGGCAAGGCCTGCTCTCACTGTGGTGTCCCTGCTAAGGTGTGGAGGGGTCGCTAACGGAAGGTCCTGGTGGGAGATGGGTCGCTGAAGAACGCGATGCTTTCTTAATCATCTAAGTGTGTTAGACTCGTGGTAGAATCCATTTCCTTAATGAATGAATTGGCTACTGCTAGTGTAGTTCCTTTGCCCAAAGCCCGTTTGAGGAGGATGACTTTTAGATGTGTCCTCTGTAATCGAGAGGCTGTCCTAGGTTCATATTTTTCGAGAAAGATAGCTGAGGATTCCATCAGCATTTTGAAATAAGCCACCTCAATCAAAGGCCAGATAACCTAGAACTCGCAATAATAGTTAGTTAATAATGGTCATAATTTCACCTTAGTCTTATATTGTGCTCTATTGTTCTGAAGGGGCTGTCTGTCTCACAGAATAAGCGAGAGAGTGTTGCTAAACATACAGTTGTGTACAAGCACAACTTGTTGCTGTGTTGGTATAATTTCCACCTGATCCGCTTCCTGCAAGGAAGGTAAGGCAGGTCTTATTCCAGGTTTATAGAGGAGGGATTAGCTCAAGAGGGCTAACTACTTTATCGGGATGTGATGATGGCTCCGTGACGGGTCGGCGGGGACAGATTATGGCAACACAGAGGGGACGGCGCCTGATCTAGCAGCAGCTCAGCTCATCAGAGAACCTTTTCAAGAAGGGGTGGGAGTTGTGGGGTGAGCGAAGGGAAAGGTCTTTGCAGGCAAATAGAGAAGCACAGAGTATGTCCGAAGAAAGATTAGGAGGGAAGAATGGGTATCTGGTAGTTGGGAGGGGACTCGAGGCCAGACTGAATCCTGGATTTCCTACTGGCTAGCCCTCAGCTTTCCAGGAGATGAGGTGGATCAGGGCGTCTCGTCCCTACGCCCTCCCTCTCGCCTGCCTTTGTCCTTCTGCTGCAGTGGACAGAAGCTCCCGCCTTGCACCGTTGCCCTTGGGGGATGAAGCCTCGCTCTCATCTTCCCTCTGCGTGAGACCCATCCAGGCCCCTTGAAGGTGTACTTTCTGTGAAAATGGTGAAAAAAGGAGAAAGGGAGACAGAACTCAAGTTCCTGAGAACTGAGAGCTTCTGAGATTGAAGGTGCATTGATTCCAGTGTGACTGAAGTCCTCATAGGGTCACTTAGTGGCCTCCCTCATGATGCCATTTGAATTCACACTCAGTAACTCTTCTGCATGGAGAGACATAGGACGGGAGCCCCCCTGCCGGTTAGCCACTGGTGCAGCACCACAGAAAAACCGCATCTGTCTTTCACCGATAGGCCCTTTGAGGGAGAATTTCTCATTTTAGGAAAAATTCCACTGAAAGCAAGCCCATCAACCTTCCAGAATGATGATGGGACTTAGGGAGATTAAGAAACTCTGGTTAAGGTTGTTGCATAGGTGGTTGGGTGGGAGCCAGGATTCAATTCCAGATCTACCCAACTTTAAGGCTGGTGTTCTTGCCTTGTTCTTGCCTCATCGTCTTTTTGTTGCAGGGACTTACTCAGGATATTTGGCTTTTACTCAATCAATCTATTGGGAAGATTTTATTTAATAGCCAAAAGCCTGACACATGCACATTTTTTCCTAGTGCCAGTGCTGCTCCACTGGCATCAAAATAAAACTCAAAAATGTCCTAAAAGGTCTTGGCTCTGAACCAAGTAATGAGGGGGTCACCAATGCACATATTTAAGTCATCTGAGATCTAAAGGGCTAAAGTCTGAGACCAGACAGAGCCCCCCAAGGAGACCTTGCTCCAAGGCCTGGGAACAAAGAGGTAGGTATCCAGGACCATGGTGCATGAAAGTGACCCATCGTGAGTCTTAAGAAAGAGTCTAGCCAAACATTTGACATCCCAAACCCCATGCCATGGACATTCAATATAGGGCATTTTATTTTTTTATTTTAATTTTTTTTAGAGAGAGAGCGCGCGTGCGCACGTGCACACACACACACGAGCGTGAAGAGTGGTGGGGGGAGGGGCAGAGGGAGAGGGAGAGAGAGAATCTTAGGCAGGCTCCCCACTGAGCAGGGAGTCCCACTGGGGGCTCGATCCCAGGACCCTGAGATCACGACCTGAGCCGAAATCGAGAGTCTGATGCTTAACTGACTGAGCCACCTAGGCACCTCAATATTTGGCATTTTAAATAAATAGTAGTGGAAATACATAACATAATGGTTCCCTATAGGTCCCACCTGCCAGGTTCTGTGCTAAGACAGACTCTCCACATGCTGAATACTTAGAATAATTGCATGAAGAGGTACTTTTCTTATTCTCATTTTTGTGAAGAAACCAGGGCTCCCAGAGGTTAAGTAACTTGGCCAAGGTCACCCAGCTCACATGTCGTTAAAAAATGATTATGTGAAAATCATGTGAATTACGCATTTGATTAACTCATTTGCAAAGGCTATTATGTCATTAAACAAACAGACTATGGGTTGATAAGAATAAAGATTTCTTGGAAGGGAATGGCAGGATTTAGAGGAGTTATTTTTTAAAAATTATGTTTTGAGGCGTGCCTGGGTGGCTCATTTAGTTAAGCGGCCAGCTCTTGGTTTCGGCTCAGGTCATGATCTCAGGGTCCTGGGATTGAGCCCTGCACGGGGCTCCGTGCTCAGCAGGGAGTCTGCTTGAGGATCCTCTCTCTCCTTCTCCCTCTGCCCCTACCCGCCCCCTCTAAAATAAATAAATAAATCTTTAAAAAAAATTATGTTTTGAGGCAGACCTATACATTGCTTTACATGTGAGAAGTCAGGAATATCGTTAGTGGGGAAACTTATAAGCCCAGATTGTCTTAATAACCTTTATTCTGAATTTTGGTCTGAAAGACCTTTCCTTTATCTGAAGCTGGACTGGCCTGCATGACATCCCTCGGCAGACAGGACGCTGTCTCCAAGGCTGATCTCATCGTCTGGAGCTCTCACACCTGCAGGGAATGAGAATTTATTTGACCCTTTCACGAAATTCAGATGTTGTCATATTTATGCTGCCCTGTTTAAGTGGCAGGCACTGAAAAGGGTTGCTTTTAAGCAAGTTATTTTGTATCACCAGGGCCCAGCAGAGTTCCTGATACATAGGTAGCTGTTTCGAACTTTTGGGGAAAAAGCGCTAATTTACTCCCCACAACATCTCTGAGAAGCTGTTCCTCAGTTCACGGCATTCTTGCAGATGTGTACACTGAGGCTTGGAGATGAAATCACGTGCTCAAAGCGAGGTCATCGTATTGGTTATGGAGCTTGATTTCAGGTGCCGAAAATGCCAAGGACGGTGCTGTTTCTATTACATCTGTAGCCAGTTTTTGGCAAAACCTCAAGAGAAAAACCACAGCAAACTTTTAGAGTTCTGGTGATTTCTTTTCTCTGACCTCGGCATGAATTCCCACATAAGCCGAGGACTGGCTGATTGATCAATACATGAAGGGATGTGCTTACATGGTCACTCTAATTTCTGCTTCTCTTTCTTGCAGTTCCCAAAGCGGCTAGGATCCACTAGAACCTGAAGCTGCTGTCTTCATCTTCCCCACCTCAGTGGAGCCGAAGGCAACGGAGAGCTGTTTGAAAGCCAGCATTCAACCCATCAGGTTGCTATTGAGGTCTTTTTCATGTTGATATCAGAGCAGTTGCTGGTGTTTTTATCACTAGGCTGATTTAGAGATAAAACCAGCTTCTGCTTCTTGACTGGGTGGAGTTGTGGGCTTCTGGGCTGGGGTATGTGCACAGCTTTCTTCACCAAAGGGGAGAGTGATTGGACAGTGGGTTGGACGGCTACACCGAGGGGAGCCCCGTGTTTAATCAGCGTGCCAATGAGGAAGCTCCCCGTGTTTAAAAAGGGAAAGGGCACCTGGGTGGCTCAGTCGGCTGAGCATCTGACTCTTGATTTTGGCTCAGGTCATGATCTCAGGGTTGTGGGATCGAACCCCGCATCAGGCTCTGTGCTGAGCATGGTTCCTGCTTGGGATTCTCTCTCCTCCTCTGTTCCTCCCCCTGCTCCCACTTGCAAGAGCTCTCTCTCTCTAAAAAAAAAAAAAAAAAAGGAAAAAGAAAGACTCAATCTCCCCCCACCCCCCTTTCTTTCTGTTGCAGTTGAAGACTGGCTTTTGGAGGTTTTCAATGTAGATCGTGTCTCCCTCGGACGGACAGGGAGAATTGCTGTCCGGGGCCCTGAGAACACAACCCCCTCTGGGTTTCATTCCCTGTGGTGAATGGCCTTGGCTTCAGCAGCCCACTGAGGGCCCTTTCACTTGGGATTCTGAACTTGTAACTAGGACTCCAGGCTGGGAAGATGCTGAGTTCCATCAAGTGTGTGTTGGTGGGAGATTCAGCTGTGGGGAAAACCTCTCTGCTGGTGCGCTTCACTTCAGAGACCTTCCCTGAGGCCTACAAGCCCACGGTGTATGAGAACACAGGTGTGGACGTCTTCATGGATGGCATCCAGATCAGCTTGGGCCTCTGGGACACAGCGGGTAATGACGCCTTCCAAAGTATCCGCCCCCTGTCCTACCAGCAGGCAGACGTGGTGCTGATGTGCTACTCTGTGGCCAACCATAACTCTTTCCTGAACCTGAAGAACAAGTGGATTGCTGAAATCAGGAGCAACTTGCCCCGCACCCCTGTGCTGGTGGTGGCCACCCAGACGGACCAGCGGGAGGTGGGGCCCCACAGGGCCTCCTGCATCAATGCCATGGAAGGGAAAAAACTGGCCCAGGAAGTGAGAGCAAAGGGCTATCTGGAGTGCTCGGCCCTCAGCAACAGGGGGGTTCAGCAGGTGTTCGAGTGTGCTGTCCGGACTGCTGTCAACCAAGCCAGGAGGCGCAACAGAAGGAGGTTCTTCTCCATTAACGAGTGCAAGATTTTCTAGCCTCCCAGAGACTCCACCCACACTCCTTTGCTCCCTGCAAAGACTCACAGGGATGGGGAGAGCAGGCAAACCAGCAAGGGCTGATGCTCTTTCTAGGTATGTTCGTCACAGCACTTCCCTTAGGATACCGTCGTTGATGAGACTTGGCCACTGGCTGTTTTTATGAAATACACTCTACAAATGAAAACCTCTTGCCCAGTCCGATTAGAAGGTTCTATAATGAAGATTTCCTTCTTTGATTAAAAAAAACAAAGTAGTCTCCATCATTTTGGACAATGAAGTGAGTTTTTCCAAGAATTCCATATTTAAAGACACATTTTATTTAAATGATAACACAATGTCTAGCTCTTGTATATAATTAGTTTTTACATTTGGAAAGTCTTTCCCTACATGGTCCCAAACACAAACTGCTCTATGAGTGACATAACCCTCTGCGGGCTCTGCCAAAGCCTTGTAGTGTTTTCCCCCATGTAGTGATTTTGTGGAGACCACTTGCCCGCTAGATATTCCTAGGTAATCAAATTTTAAAATGACCATGGCCGGATCCTTGCAATTTCCATCCACCTGTTATTCAGAGTTGTATATAAAATACAGTTCAATAACATAAGATTCTTTAATGCTGCCTAATTAAACATTTAAATTTTAAACAGTTGTCATTAGATTTCTCTATAATTATATATGTTTTTTTAAAAAGCGTTTCTTATTTATGATCTTACCTTTTACCCAAAGAAGTCTAATTGTGCACTAAGCATTCCTCCCTCATTCACCAAACTAGACGGAAGGGAAACCTTCCAGGTAGGGAATCAGAACGGAACGGAAGTGAGGAAGTCTCACTTTCATTTCAGGAGCCGGTGCACTTGGCCTGCTTCTTCCAACACCGTGATTCCTAGCTGGTTGTAGATCTTCTGAAGAAGAGCAGGCTCAAATTTCTGTGTGACGGTAATTTAGCAAATTTGCTATTTGAGTGCTAAACTGAGTTGGCATGGTAACATAAGTTATTAATGTTAGGACCCAATCCAAATCGCCAGGAAGGCGTCTACCTATATATGTGTGTGTAAGGGAAAAAAAGGTGGGAACTTACAACTTTTACTATTTCATGAATATGAAACACCTGAGTGAAAAAAAATCCACAAATTCCAAGCACAGGGAACAGGCAAACTGTATAGCAATTGTTCAGATAATAAAAACTTATCAGGAGAAATACTGAATACAGAAGGATGCATCTCTCCCTCCTCCAACCCCGTGATATCTAATAGCTTAAAAGGAACGATATTGCTCAGCTGTTAAAGTTGAGAATAGAGGACTATGTAACTGGAGGGAGAAGTTGTGAAGGTGGGCACCCAGGTATATCATTTGCTCACCTAATTGAATAAAACTTATAACTACTCAGAACCACATTTGTTGAAGTACGTCATTGTTTCAGCGCAACAAGACCATCGCATACAAATGGTAAGCGAGTGGGCATGAATGACTATGCATAACTTATGTTGACATGACCAACCCGATTTTTTAGTTTCCTCATGTGCTCAGTCCTTTATAGCTATAATCAGTGTCGAGATCAGATTTGTGCTTATCCCCAGACTCTTTTCTCCTTCTCCTCTTCTCTCATTCACATCCAGGGAAAGGCCCCGGACCTGGATCTTAGTCTCTGGGGGCCGGGGTTCTCTTAGTTCCCTGGGACTGACATCTCTGCCTTCACCCAGACATCTCCAGTCCTCCAGTCCTGGGGCTTGTCCTCACCTCTGTGTCACCCATGTGCCTGGCTTGAGAGCGGCTATATCCAGCTCTCTTCACTGCACATCCAGAGGGTTGGAGGGCTTGAAAGCCGACCAGGCAGGGGAAGCGAGGATAGCTCATCTCCCCTGATTTCCCTGTCGATCCCAATCCTCTCCTCCAACATAGGAACAGTCTTAAAATCACTCAGGTAGGTTTTCCTTCACGGGCCAGTCTTTAGGGTGGAGGGGTATTTAACATATTAGCAGGAATGAATTTCTACTTACTGAAATAGGCCATCCCCAGGCTTTTCATTCTTTCTTGCTGAAGGGAGATGGGAGAGGGGGATTGTCTGAACGTGGGAGGGCCCAGGTACCTGATCCTAAGTGAGGGAAGAGGAAGTGATTCCATGGTGGAAGAGGAGGAAGAAAGGCAAGCTGGAGAGGGCCCAGTCAAACAGCTTTGCCTTCCCCCCGGGCAGACACACAGAGAAGCGCTCTGCCTGTTGGCAGGAACCAAGCTTAAAGGCTCCCCCTGGGTACCCTCACATCCGTGAGAACAGGAATCCATGTATGTAAGTCCTCCCCAGGGGCCTGGCAGAAATTGAGGCCAACTGGTGTCTGGGTTCTCGAAGGCAGAAGCAACTCCTATGCATCTTAGTGTCCCCAGAGCCCGGCACAGGGAAGGAACCGTAGCTCAACAAAGTTGTGTTGAACTGACTCAGAAACAGAGAGAGGATTTGGGCTGCTAGGCCGCAAAGTGGCTATGAGAAGGAAGCAGACCCCTCCCAGCCTTGCCAGGTAGGAAGTGAAGTCATTTTGTTGGAGTCCACGCAGCGTATCTTCTACACGAGTGTATATATGTTTTGCCTGCCTAGATCCAGGCACCTGTTTCTTGTACTTCAAACTCACTGTACCGTGTTGTAGACTATTATATGCATAGCCTTAACTATTCCAAGTAGCAATGTTAAATATGCTCGTTTACGTTAAAGAATTAATGAGTGCTTGAGTAATTCATCCTATTTGGTTTTACCTTATACTGACTATCTAAACGGGGCAGCAGAGGCGGGCGTCTGGGTGACTCCATTGGTCGAGTGTCTGACTCTTGATTTCGGCTCAGGTCATGATCTTGGGGTTGTGAGATCAAGCCCTGTGTTGGGCTCCACCTGCTGAGGGTGGAGCTTGCTTAAGATTCTCTCTCTCTCTCCTTCTCTCTCTGCCCCTCCCCCACTCATGCTCTCTCAATAAATAAATAAATACATACATACATACATACATACATAAATAAATGGGGCAGCAGAATCAAGTGTGATGAAATTAGGCTGAGCAATAAGAAAGCCAAAAGCATCCTAACGGTTCAAGTTCACTGAGCGCTTTGGATGTGCCAGGCTCTATGGTAAGCACTTGAGTGTGCATTATCATGTGGTGTATAGGTGGCCACGCTAATAAGTACCATCTTACATGAGGAAACTGAGGCTCAGCGTGTTGATGTGACAAGGTTGAGGCCAGGGAGCAGATGAGTGACAGCACCAGGAGTCTTAAGCAGGTCTGTATGACTACAAAGCTCTGCTCAAAACCACTGCACCCCACTTCCTCCCAGAGCAGCCTGATTGTATGTATGGCTTTGCCACATCCCATCTCATGCACCCGTGTAGACCCCACCCCCACCAGTCAGGTGGCTTATGTTTCAAATGTCATTTTTAATAAAATATTCCAATCTGATCTTAGTCCTCTCTTTTTATTTTTCTTTCTGGTAATGAAAGCAAGATCCTCCTTATTAACAGAGCACCATCATTTGCAAAAAGTCCCTGCTGTAAACCCTAACCCTTGGCTTTTAAGTGTAATTTCACAAGTTGATTGTATGTGAAATGGCAGAGATGAAATACATTATGATATGATGCTATAAAAGCTTGAAAAATATTCTCTTTTTCTTATCTCACTTTTCCATCCCTCGGGCTTCCCATATTTCCTCTGAATGAGGGAGTGACAGGGGAGAGAAGAACCTGGCTCTTTCCTTTTAAAGATTTGGTAGCAGGGAAGGGCACTGACCCAGCATGAGATCTGTAGGGTTATGACAGGCAGGGGATGGGGCATCTGTGAGTGTTCATCCCCAATGCCGAGAAGGCAATCATGTGAACTGAGTCGGATCAGAACAGTTCAAGGGTAGGGCCTTATTTCTGCTCAGGTTGTATCTCTTCTGTTAAAGCAAAACATAATCATTGGCCAAGATCGTGAGCAGTTTTTCACCAGAAAAGATAAAATGAACCCTAGAATTTACTTGTGATATAAGTTCATAAAGAGTACTTGATTCAACCTAAAGTTCACATTAACTTTTTCGGTTGATTCTAAAATATATCCTGACACGGAACTTAATACTTAATGGTGGATAAAGAGCCATCAGGAAGGAGTAAGAGGCTAGATAATTGTGGTTTATTTTGGAGTCAGAAAGTCTGGGTCCTGTGTCTTTCAGCCTCAGTCTCCCTGTCTTAAAAAAGGTACTTATTCCTGGGTGATTCTAAGAATTAGTACAATAATGATTGTGGAAGTGCTTTATGTTTGTAAACTATTGTTCAAATGGTGGTGTCATTATGTTTTTGGTGGATTCCTATGCAGAAAGGAAGAGCATGTTGATTAACTTGAATAAGCAAAAGAATAGTTTTGGGATAGCGATGCTCAAGAATTGTGTGTCTTTTAATGACATATTTATATTTAAGAAGCTCTGCTCTTATCCATAATATATTTAAAAAAACTATGAATCAATAAGAAAAAACGGCCTAATCTAAAAATGGACATGTGTCAGAAGAGGAAATATGCATGGCCTGACCAATAAATAATAGAAAAGGCACTGAGTGAGTAGTCAGGGAAATGAAAACAAAATCCACATTGAGATATCATTTTCACACCACTATATTGGCAAATAATTAAAAAGTATCACTATCAAGCCTTGGCAAGGATATGAAACAATTGGAAGTCTTATATGATGTTCTTGGGGGTATCAATTGGTATAATATTTGGCAACACTTAGTAGTGTTGCATAGCCTATATCCTTGACCCGGAAATTCCATGCCCTCGAAATACACTTGCATAGATTTCCTGGGAAGCATGTATGAGAATGTTTTTAGCATCATTGTAGGTAATAACAAAAACTAGAAACAACCCAATGTCAACAGAAAGTGGCTAAATAAATTTTGGTATGGGCACTTGGGTGACTCAGTTGGTTAAGCGTCTGCCTTCGGCTCAGGTCATGATCCCAGGGTCCTGGTCCTGCTCAGCGGAGAGTCTGCTTTT